TATATATATATATATATATATATATGATTTGATTGAATGTATTTCGAGATTCGAATTCCATGACAGAAAAGTAAGAGTAAAAACTTCTCTCTTTTAGTACTAGTCTATGTAAACGTGAAGCAACGTGACCATGACTCATTTTTACAAAGTAATTTTCCTTCAACTCTTTGTTGTTTTATACTTTACGATCAAACGGACTTGACGAATATAACAAAATGGCAATGATCATTGTAAAACTGATATATTTTTATTAATAATCTTTTGGAAAAAGAAATAATTGAAATATTAGAAAATAACGAGTAAATAATGAATAAATAATTACTAATTTTTTAATTATTATATATTTCGAAGATTAGGTTGAAAGAAAAGGTATAAAGTGATTCATTGGAGGTAAGGGAATTTTGTGATCATGCGCGTGACGTAGTAGTAAGAATCGTGACGTCAGTAACTGGATTTGAAATACCGGGGAAAGCAAAGTAGCGGGAATTACTGACGTTTATTCAAAGACCAGGTATCTAAGATATATTTCCTCATGGGTTTTCCTTCGAGATAAATGAAATGTTAATTAACTTTGATTTCTTATGTACGCTAAAAATCATAAGTGATTTTAAGTATTTAATATTATTACGAAGGCACGTTTATTAATTATGTTTCAACATTTAAACGATGACCATTATTAATTTGCAACTGTCGAAATATTATCTTATCTAAATAAATGTCAAATGCAAGATATTTCACAATTATATTTCAATATTAGCGAATCTTTGATTTATTCCAAATCTATTACTATACTTGATTGATTTCAAATTTTTGTATTTAAGTTTTTTTTTAATGTTTGATAATCTCTATTGGCAATATTTTTCACGAGATTATAAAAGAAAAAAAATCTTGTCAAATAAAATATATGATTTATAAACTGAAGGAAAATTCTTTCGAAACGTGAGATTAAATGAACGATGATACGTCAAAGCATAGTAATTACAAACACAAAGCGGTTCAACGAAACGATTAGTTACACATTAATAATAAAAACAAAAAAACAAAAAAACTCACATCTAGGACAACAGAGTTTACGTGAATTTGTACATGTGAAAAATCGTGAGGAATCCATTTATACCGGTCGTCAAACCGAGTCATTACTTCACAATCACTTTTTACGATCGAACGGCTAATCGATGACGCAAGAAGGAAACTAATAACGATCGAATACAGATTGATAATATTTTACATATTAAACAAACGTTAAGAACTATATTTAATACTCGGTGAAAGTAAAATTTGTAAAAAAAAAAAATTAATTTTAAATTGTTTCCTCACATCAATTTTAAAAGATTATTATTTATCAATTACTATAAACACTTATTAATGAAAAAAAAGACATGAATGAATAATAAATGATAGTTTATTTTTTATTACTTACAGTAAATCCTCGTAGTAGTAACACTATTAATTGGTTGCGTTGTATTGTGAATGATTAAATAAAATGTTAAGATAAGAGACGATAGAAGTATTCTCGAGTCGTTGTCGCATGGAATTGTCAGTCCATCGTTAGCCGAGGTGCTCTTTATGTATCACCCCACCCCTTTAGCAACTCCGACGAAAGCGACGAATGCGTTGAAAGCGCTTTTCGAGCACCGAGACCTTTCCACCAATCGAATGGCTTTCCACCTAGAAATATATATATATATAATATACCCCCAGACCATCCTCCCAACACAAAATTTCTTCCTTTTTTCCTTCCACACCTCCGAGCTTTCCTCCTACTCTTTAAAAGATCGATAACAAATTTTAAATCGATACAATTTCTTTTTCCTCATTTTTTTACTTAATGTTTTCCCTGTTGTCAAAATTACTGTGATAACGATTAGAGTCAATAATGTTTCCTTGAGATTGATATTTCCATAAAATAAATATTTTACCGTATATGATATTTTACATATTTTAGAATAATTATAAATGATAAAGGAATAGATAAAAATTGGTAAAAAGAGTTGAAACATTGTATAGAAGAATAATTGTATGGTAGATAAGTATTGTTTATAATTATTGAAGATATATTGGTATTACTGTGATAAAGATTAGAACCAAAAATGTTTCCTTGAATATTGATATTTCCTAAAAATAAATATTTAAACAATGCCGAAATAATTATAGACGTTGAAATAAGGAAAGAAAAATTAAATCGTTGATTAATATATTCGTGATATATATATCACGATCATATGTTTCTTTTTTCCTTTCAATTAATTTTCTCAACTTTGTGCGTAAATCTATTTCGAAGAAATCAAACTAATTCGATGAAAATCGATTTTTCTCAAGTATTTCTTTCATTCATTGAAATCAAAATGTTCTTCTAAAATGATGAATGAAAGTTTTATTTTTTTTTTTTATTTTGAACTATTATCTTATACATTTTCTTCGAACTTAACTCCCTAACAAAGTACATTTAAATATGACAGATGAGAGTTATCGCGAGAGTTCAAACGATTTAATAGAATTTCTAAATGTACTGCCTGGCAAGTGCAGTAAGACAGGAAATACGATTTCACGTGAGAAATCAAGGAACTATTGAGACTGACGAAATTGAATTAGGGCGTATGTATTCAAAGGTACTACTCGTCGACTTGGAAAATTTTTCCTTCCTCAATTAGAATTAAAAAAGATCTTTCCCAGTTTCTTCTTTATGAAGTGAAAACTTCTCAAAGCCACGATACTAAGTAGAGAAAAAGAGACAAACATACAGGATTGAGCCTGTGAGAGAAAGAGACAGAATAATAGTTATATAGTTTTTCCTATTCTCGATCTCCTCTTTATGCTCTGCTTTGTAGTTATCGCTCCTGGTTGTACATGTGTGTGTTTGTGTGCGACTGCATACTACGGACTCATATCATCTCGTTACGAAACCTGTATGTATGAAGAAGTGATATAAGGGTAGAAGAATAAACAGATATAATCGCGACAAAATAAAAATATCATGTGAACAGATCACACGTGCTAGAAGTGAAACCTTGAAAAAACTAAGTTTCCAAAAAATGTGACGAAAGCACAGTATCAAGAGTAAGATAATTGTAGGATTTATTTAATATAATATTGTTACCATATATATGAAAGGGCGCCGGTATGATCTTGAGATTGCGGGTAGCAAACATAAACTATCACTTTCAAAGTGTATCAATTAAGATAGAATGCCGAATGTGCGATAGCCATAGATAGAAAAAAAATTGTAGAATGTTTGTCGACGGAAAGATACGTCGTCCTAACCAAATTAAATATAATATATCATTTTTTGTAATTCAGGTAGATGATAGTCTTTCTGTGAATTTAAGATATCTTTATCATGGGTCAGCACACACAAGTATTTTTTTTTATTGTAACTAATACCTATACATACTTGAAAAAAAAACAGAACAATTTTGATCGTATTATTTTCGTTTCATCGAATTTTGAATTACAACGATTCTAAAATCTATTTTTCATTTTCGTTGTTTTATTTTTTAATTTCTTTTTTCTATATTTGTAAAATAAGTTATATTATTGTATTTTTATTGGAAATATAATAGCAAATAAGGTTTATTTGTTTGTGTAACGCGCGCGCGTATCCAATTTCTTCTATTTAAAAACATTTTTGTTTTATTGAAAAATTAATATAAATTTCCTAAATATGCAAACATTATAATTAAAAAAACATGTCTTTGGATATTTATAAGAAAAAAAAAACATAGAAATGATACAATCAAGCTTCGAGAAAAAAAGACAAATGCACAATGTCAAGAGTAAGATAATTGTAGGATTTATTTATTATAATATTGTTACAATATATGTGCCCATAATTATGAAAGTGGTCTAAATCAAAATTAATAAAAAATGAGTTTATCAGTTATTACGCACTATATTATTATAAACTAAATAAATTCAATGTAATTTTCACGATATTATCAAAAATGAATCGTTAGATAATGTTTGTTATTTCAATATTGTATAGAATTCGTATAGTGTT